ACAGGAAGTCGTCCGCTAAGATGTTACCCTCTGCGGCTAAACTGATATTGTCCAAGTAGCCACAAACAAACGCCGAAGATGACTTCGTCAACAGTGGGTGAAGGGTTAGAGCAAAAAGCATCAGTCCCAAAGGATCGCCTTGCTGTACACCCTCGCACAATTCCACCACCCAGGCGTCGTAACCGAGAGAAGAGACTCGGCCATATGCGGAATGACAAAAATTATAAATTTGAGGACAGTGCTGCTTAACTGCCTCTAACATTGAATCTCTTCTCAGGGTGTTGAAAGCGTTCTTGAGATCAGTCTTCAAGAATCCCATTGTTTTGGGAGTGTTGAAATCAGTTCACGTACGGCGTAGACGGCCGCCTCAGCACCACCCTTCACGCCGACGCCCAATTGGATAGGATAGAGTTTGGCTTTGATCTGTTCCAACACTAGCGCCAGAGCGCACTTACTGGCCAGCCTCCTCCAGAAATTCCCCACTGCGATAGGTCTGATCCCTCCATCTTTTTTGTTTAAAGCCACCAGACGGCCTCCAAAAAGAACGGCTAACCGCAGGAGGGCAGATCCCAGATAACAACAAATTTACAAATCGGGTGAGGTTATTTAACAATTCATCGGTGGGCATCGGACCGGAAAGTAAATTCTTTATGTGCTAAGGCCTCAAGCCATCCAGGCCTCCCGATGAACCATTATTAAACGATTTTAAAGCCGTCAACATCTGGGCTAGTGAAACGTGACCATTAGACGGCTCCTGCGCGGGGAAAGCTCGCCTGTTCAATGGAGTACTGGGATGAATAGCCCTGAGTTTAGCGAATGTCTCAGGCGAGCTCTCCGCCAGGCCCACGGGCAAACAAGCAAGTCTGACGGCCGCCGAGAGACTGCCCTGTTCGATCCGAGTAGTTACTGCACTAATCCAACTGTTTGGATTGTGCTTACGCGGTTTGGTGTTGTGGTCAGTGTTGAAGATTGCCACAATAATCTCGACCTCGGTCGAACTGAATTCGGCCAACCGTTTGATAACGTAATTGGCTTGATTAATTCTGCGACCGCCCCTGGTGGGCTTGAACAAAACAAATGCGAAAAAACAATGGAGCCTGCACCAATGGCCCGCGTCGCAGGGATCGTCACAAACGGCCTTCAATAAAGCAGACAATGCTTTAGATACCTTGTCTCTACACGGTTTGGGAACGTGATCAGATGAGCAGATGAGCAGTCTTCAAAACGGCCGTCAGCCTGTCAAAAACATGAAAAAAAACTACTTGGGAGGGACTCTCCGAGACCGACGCCGAAGAACCACGTGTGGCAACATGAGGATTGATGACAGGTGCGGCGGTAAGAGGCGGTCTCGCGGAAGCAGATGAACCAGCCAGAGGCTGGTCGACAACCTTGAGCGAACCAGGGCATTCCTGGCCCTTCAATTTGCCTCCATGTCGATATAGTTTACCGTCCGGTTTTATTTTATAATGATTTAAACAAACCGTGCATTGGTATAGGACCGGTGCCATTATGTATGTATGTACGGCCGTGCTGAAATGTGTACCGGTGTACGACTATATTCTTAAACCGAATAAATGGTTTGGATATTATTTCGTAATCCTCAACTGTCAGCCTAATAGTTTTTACTTGTTTCTTTCCGGTAACTATTACTGCTTCAGTTTTATGCTTTGCTAACTCCAGGTTCACTGCATACATCCATTTACTGATCTTTGCAAAAGTGATATTAAACGCTAGCTCTATTTCTTCCAGATGTTTTGCAACAATAACCACAGCTACATCATCTGCATAAGCCACAAGACTGATTTCCAACGGCAGTTTCAATTTTAGTAGGTTATTGTACATTACGTTCCATAGCGAAAGACCCAGAACGGAACCTTGTGGTACCCCTCCCGTTATGTTGTATTTTTTTGGTCCTGCATTTGTATCATATTTTAATTTTCTCAGTAAGAAATAGCTTACTACCATTTTCTGTAAATATACTGGTACGTTTAACTAATCAAGGGCACGCAGGATGCAATTCCAGTTGGCAGAGTTGAAAGCATTTTTGATGTCCAAGGTAGCCACCAAACAGTACTTCATTTTTCCTCCTTTTCCATCTTTTTCCTGCAATAGCATCTCTGGCTTTATTAACAACAAGATTCACTGCATCAAACGATGATCGACCTTTTCGGAAACCGAATTGATTGTTCGTAAGCTGCGGATCCACAACTTCTTCATTCCTCTGATGAATAATTCTTTTTAATATTTTACCAGCCGTATCTAACATACATAGCGGTCGATAAGATGATGGCTCTTCCGGAGGTTTCTTTCCCTTGGGAATAAGCACTAGTCTCTGCTGCATCCATCTAGTAAAAAATACACCTTTTCTGAGACATGAATTGTACACCTCCAAAAACAGTTCCGGTGCCTTTTTCATGGCTGTTTTTAAAACAATGTTTGGAATTCCAGTTTGCAGAGTTGAAAGCATTTTTGATGTCCAAGGTAGCCACCAAACAGTACTTCATTTTTCCTCCTTTTCCATCTTTTTCCTGCAATAGCATCTCTGGCTTTATTAACAACAAGATTCACTGCATCAAGAGATGATCGACCTTTTCGGAAACCGAATTGATTGTTCGTAAGCTGCGGATCCACAACTTCTTCAATCCTCTGATGAATAATTCTTTCCAATATTTTACCAGCCGTATCTAACATACATAGCGGTCGATAAGATGATGGCTCTTCCGGAGGTTTCTTTCCCTTAGGAATAAGCACTAGTCTCTGCTTCTTTCATCTAGTAGGAAATACACCTTCTCTAAGACATGAATTGTACACCTCCAAAAACAGTTCCGGTGCCTTTTTGATGGCTGTTTTTAAAACAATGTTTGGAATTCCGTCTAAGCCTGGAGCTTTGTTATTTCCTACTCTATCACTTGTTTCCATGAGTTGGCGTTTTGTGATAAGCGGGATGTCATTCATTTCACAACGTTTTCTTCTGTAATAGTGGCTGTTTTGTTGTGGGAATTAATTAGTAAATTTTTTGTTTAAGAACTGGGGGCAAGTGGGCAACGGTATTGGCTGGTTTTTCAAATGGAACATGACAGCTCTGTAAGGCCGACCCCACGGATCTTTTTCAATTTCATTGGTAAGATTTATCCAACATTGTTTTTTACTATTTTTAATTGCTTTGTTGAGTTTTAAACGAGCTTTCTTGTATTCTGCTTACAGTTCCTCATAATTAGGTTTTTTTCATGAGTATTGTATGCTTTTCTCGCTTTTAGGCATTCTTTTCGAAAAGTGCTAATGTTTTCATTCCACCAATGTACCGATGAGCGCTTCTTCATATAATGTTTTTGAGGCATGCTCGCATCGCACGCTTTTATAATTCTTCTCATCAAATCTTCTGCTTTCTTTTCAGCATTCTGTACGACAATTGGTTCACAATCCAAAACCACCATAAAAGCAATTGGGTCAAAAAATTTTACTTTCCATCCATTATCATTTATCCGCATCTAGGATTTTTTAAAGTTGGAATCAGCGTATACTTCCCAAAACAGTGCGCAGTGGTCGCTTGCAGTGTAAACATCCAAGACTTCCCAGGAGTAGTTTCCTTTAACAAGACGACTACTAACAAAGGTAAGGTCTACCACTGAGTTTGCTTCTCCTCTGATGAAAGTAGGTTTATCTCCGTTATTCAACAGAACTACATCTAACAGTGCGTTCCCCAATCTACCGCCCAAGCATTGAAGTCTCCGGCTATTGCTACGGGGGAGTATTGATTTGCATCTTGAGCTAGCCGATCAAAAAAGTCCACAAATTCTTTAAACGAAAAACTGGGTAAAGCGTAACAGCTATAGAAGTAGACATTTTCCACTTTTTGCTGTAACAAAACCTGCTTTAGTGTTTTTAATTCCTTTCTGAAAAGGAAGTTTGCCACAGGACCAGATGACTGCTTTTCCACTGCTATCAATTTCCCACGGTTGCGTATGTATGTATGTATGTATATATGTATGTATGTATGTATTGCAAAAAATGAATTATTTGCGCTACTAAGAATATGTACAGCCAAAGCGCCTTTCGTTGACCCGGGTAACACAATATATCAGCAAATAGTCGGTATAGCAAGACTCTCCATTGGGGGTACTCTTCGCATTCTTCTATGTTGCACATATCTGATATTCTTTTCAGGTCTGATAACACGCCCAAAATTTCATTAGCTAACTTCTTTGTTGCAGCATAAAACAAATATATGTTAAAACTCATAACTGATAGAACAAATACTACAACGAGATTGAGGACAGAGTATAAAATAGTTCTACGTGAGAGTGGAACTGCGCCATAGATTTGCACCATTGCCAAAATTGTTTATTTTAGTGAAGGTAGCGACGTCCTATATAATTAGCAAAAGGATGAAACTTTTAAAAATACTGAATGCGCAGAGGAACTGGTCTTTGGTTGAGATTTAAACGAATTTTGCATTTGAGTTAATCAAATAAAACATATGATTAAAATAGCGTCTATGAAATCTAGAAAAATTCGGTAAATTTTTGGTTGCAGCTGAAAGAATAAGTTCAGTTAAATAAAATTAAATAAAAAAACAAAAATTGTTAAGTTAGGAAAAGATATTTGAAAAAAGCTATGTTGGTAAAAAAAATAAATAATAATGTAGCTGGATTTAAAAATGTGGGTACAATCAAGTTGGTGATAATTGAGCAGCGTATGCATGGAAAATTCCCAAAAATGTAATAGTTTTCAGAATAACAGTATTTAGTGATTACTATTTTTTGTAAAAATTTGTAATGGTAATCTTTTCTGTGTAATTATATTTTAAAATGTTCTTTATTGGTTCATTTTTTAAACTGCAACTATTTGGCTAACTTTCGAACTGCATTTGTTTCGTAACTTGACGCTTACATAACATTACATAACATAACATTATTGACGCTTTATAACATGGTTCAATAAAATTGAATATTTTTAATTATTTTTCTTGATTTACCCCTAAGCTTTTTTATTCTCTTCAGCTTTCAGACTTTGGTTTTGCAAAACTGGTGAACGGTCGCACATATACTTGGTGTGGTACGCCAAACTATATCGCACCTGAAATCATTAAAATGAAAGTTTGTTTAATAATTATAAATTCTTGAACAAACACAAGCTGTTGTTTTTTAATTGTTATTTAAAGAAGTTAATTCACAACATTTCAAAATTAAAAAACAACAGCTTGTGTTTGTTCATTATATTTTCGATTATATTTTTCGAAGTAAAATATATAACGATTTATGAATAGCTATTTTATTTAAAAGCCAAGCCGCTTTTTTTAACCGCCCATAACTGTAAATGTCAAAACTAAGAAATTTATTAATTTGCGAGTCGACCTGCCACACACGTTTCCACCTATTTTTAACTTGGGTTTATTATATTATATTTAAAACTAAACCTTAAAAAGACAAATAAGCAAATACTTTTAAGCTAACAAACATTTATATTAAATTTTTTTGCCTAGATTGACTGCGATTATCATAAAATATCAATTTTTTATTAATATATATTTAATATATTAAAACATACTTAATTAACCAATCTGAATAAAATTTGCCAGTTTTAAATTACCGTCATAATGAATGACTAATGAATAATTTATATTCAGATTCATTTGCAAGGCACATTGGAAATTATTTAAATATTTTTGAAAAAATTAATATACAAAACTTTAATGAAAGAATGTTGTTAAAATTTATGCATTAAATAAAAATATATACACAATTTAAAAAAAGGTTAAAAACTTTTTTGTTACGTAGTGCTGTTAAAGACGGGTTACTCAAAGGGGGGGTTGAAATAATTGAACGGCCTCTAATAACTTTTTTATTAAATAATATGTTCTTGGTTTAACTTATATTTTTTTTTTGAATATGGAAAAAAGACTTACTTGAAAACATTTAATTGAAATTTTAAATTTCAAAATCTAGATTGTTTTTAATAAATGTTAAATATCAGGGTTATAACAATTCTGTAGACTGGTGGTCATTTGGAATTCTGCTCTATGAGTTAATTTCTGGCAATCCACCGTTCGATGATGACGACCATTCCAGAATTTATTCCAAAGTTTTAGCTGGTCAGGTACGTTTTTTTCACTTGAAAATATTTTGTAAATATCGATTATTAATTGTCATTATCAATTACCATTATTAACATCGTTACAATTAGCATTATAATGTTTACTTCAACACCGCTTTCAGAGCCTTTCATCCGTCATATTGAGCCTAATTAAATCCATAAAAAAATTTATCAATTGATTGATGTTTATAATAGCGTTGAAAGTGGTTCATGTTATTATAATGTTCAAAATCCTATTTAGATTCTGATTATGACAGATTTTTTTAATTTATACATGAAATGCATTAATATCTCTTGTCCAAATGTTGTCAAAAAAGATAGATTTAGAAAGCCATGAATGAATAATGAATTGTATAATATCAGTTTACACATAAACAACTTGCATAATATTTATTTGTGTAATCCTTCTTTCTGTAACAAGATTAATGTATGTAATAAATGCAAGAATTATTTTATCAAATTAAAAAAAATCAAAGAAAATCTTTTTTATGATAATAAAAATTGCGCAATTGATGATAATTGCGCAAGGATGACACGCTAATTCGTGAAGCGTTCCATATTTTTTAAGTTCAGATCCAGTCGATAAAGACCAATATCTGAAGTTATCAAAGAAGTGCTCCAATTTAGCCAACTCATATCGCAAAAATAAAGAACAAAAGTTGTTATCAAAAGCGAATATTCGAAATTTTTATCATTACGTCAACAATAAACTGTTTTCTAAACCTCTGGTTACTAGCTTGAGAATTAATAATGTAAATAACAATGAAACTAATGATCCCATTGAGATATTCAACGAATATTTTGGATCAGTTTTCACGATTGACGACAACAGTAGTAGTTCGCTATCAAACCGTACTACAGAATCAATAGAAGACATTTGTTTCACTCGACATACAGTTTATCTCGCTCTTCTTAATTTAAAAAAAAAACATTTTCAGTAGGTCCAGACGGTATACCAAACATTCTTCTCATTGTGTGCATCAAGCCTGACTCTTCCATTGTGTCACATATTTGACATATCGTTCAAAACTAATTCTTTACTAACAAAATGGAGGACAGCTTTTATTACTCCTATTCATAAGAAAGGTCCAACCAATCTCCCAAACAACTACCGACCAATATCACTCACTTGTTCATCATGCCGGGTTATGGAGAAAATCATCAACAAGAATATATTATCTCACTTGTTAGATAATAATTTAATCTCCAATTTCCAATACGGTTTTTTGCCTGCGAGATCAACTTCTACCAACCTCTTTAAATTTTTAAGCGATCTTTTATCGATTCATCAACAAAAGGAAAGATGCGACACAGTCTATCTTGACTTCCGATTCCGTTTCGCATGCCAAACTGGTTTGTAAATTAAAGGCTTATGGGGTGTCTGGTAGCTTGCTTATGTGGATGACTGATTTTTTACATGGCCGTTCTCAAATCGTTCGAATTCAAAATAGGCTATCAAATTTCATTGCAGTTTCTAGTGGTGTTCCTCAGGACCCACTCTATTTCTAATGTTCATCAACGACATCGAGGATTGCATTTCATCAAACCCTGTATCGATGCTACTTTTTGCTGATGACATCAAATTATATACCAGTTCATCAAATTCCGTACAGTTACAACAGGTCATCGACAACATTGTTGTATGGAGTAACAGGTGGCAGCTACCACTTTCTCACAACAAATGTTCTCTGTGTTCGTTTTTGCCAGCATCTAGAAATGTACCAGCCGTACATCATTACTCAATTGATCACACGCTTTAACGCCTGGTGAGTATTTTAAAGATCTCGGCGTAACCTTCGATAATCAATTGAAATTTAATCATCACATCAACGATATCACGCACAGAACTCCTACTCGTGCTCGTCTAATCAGCAAATGTTTCACATCAAAGAGATAAAGAGCTAATTACCAAAGCCTTCTGCACTTACGTTCGTCCTTTGTTAGAATACTGTTTATCCGTTTGGAGTCCTTATTATAAATATCATGTATGCAAAGTGGAATGTGTTCAAAGACGATTCACAAAAGCCATTACTTCAATTCGCCTTCATCCGTATTTGTTTCGACTGCACACTGCTGGAATTCAAACCTTAAAACATAGCAGAGCAATTATTAACTTGTGTCTTGTGTACAAACTATTAAACAAGCTTGTCATTTCAGATTTAAACGATCATTTTTGCCTCTCACAATATTTGTCAATTTCGTGGTCATCACAGTAAGCTGCGTGAACCAACCACCAACAATAACATCACTAAAAACTTCTTCTGTAACAGAGTTGTCAGAGTGTGGAACGCTTTACCGGAAGAAGTAGTTTCATCTCCATCTTTTACAGTTTTCAAAACTAAATTACTTGCTACCAATATTAGCAAATTTTTGATTTATTTATTGATGGATTTAACTAGTTTTATTTTTCTTTTTATAAAATGCTTACCAACCATTACAAATTGCTTATCAACGACCATTTCGTTTTAACCATTCTATGTTGTTCTTACTGTATTACCGTATAAGATTTAATTTTTTTTTTATCATTAACTGTCGGCTTAATCACTAATCATTAGGTATCTTAATGTTTTACCTAACCTACTGTAATCGACTATATTTGTTTGTCAAACCAAACGTCAATGACTATAATTGAAATTATGTCACTGTGTTCATATTTTTTGTCCAATTTCTAATTCACTGTATACATGTCAAACTGAACAGCAATGATCGAGATAATGAAATTTATTTTCAAAGATCCATTTATTTTCTATTTGCCATTTTGTTTATTTGAACTGCAATTTATTTTGTTTTTTGGTCAGACTGGGTAAGTGGTCCGTTGGGCCCTCTGGTCAGTTACGTTAATAAATAAATAAATAAAGTGCATCGTTAAACCGAAGCCAACTGAGTTGCATCATTTTAAGGATGATGACTCTTTATTAAGCAAAATAAAAATAGTTTATGAGATAAATTTTTTATTGAACAAAGTAGTAAATTAACCACTGGTAATTAAATTAATTTATTTCCTAACTTATCTTTGTTAAACAAATTAAGTTTTCCATCATTTCTGGCCGTTGATACATCTCCTGATGAAATCATTTTAATAGCTAATAAATTAAAAAGTAAAAATAGTTATGTCGGAAACCTTTTATCAACAAGGTTGTTAAAGGATACTATCCGTACTATTGCAAATCAACTTACATCTTTATTTAATAAATTTATAAAATAAAGACTCGGCCACTTTTCAAAAAGAAAAAAAAAGAAATTGGTAAAAGTATTGCCCATATATGAAAGTGGTGAATATAATGAGTATGGAAATTATAGACCAATATCTATTTTATCAGTGTTCTCAAAAATAATTGAAAAAATGATTTTTAACAAAATGTGGAAATTTGTATTAGTTAACAACGTAATAAATAAAAATCAACTTGGTTTTGTTTCTAAGTCAACCACATAGAAAGCAATAGCGATGTTATATAGATTCGTTTTAAGAAACTATGAATCTAAGAAGTTAAGTGCTGGTGTATTTATAGACCTTAGCAAAGCTTTTTTAAACAAGTTTATATCATGTTTATTTCAAAAAGCGAAACATGAAAAAAGGCCCTAAAAAAAGTAAAATTTCAAATAAATAAGAACCCTACAATCTTTGACTAATCATGAAATCCTAATTTATAAATTGAATAAATATGGCTTCCGCGGGGCTATCTCAAATTTGTTCCAATTTTATTTTAGTAATCGTAGGCAATATGTTTGTGTCGGTGGTATTGAATCATCTTCTTTAGAGATTGAATCTGGTGTTCCCCAGGGTTCAATCCTGAGCCTTTATCTTGTCAAATAGTATCAAATATTTGTACTACCATTGTTATTGCCGACAGTGGCTCAACTAGGAAACCGAAATTTAAAAAAAAAATATTAAAAGATTCGGTCAAGGGTCAAAATTTAAAAAATCACAAATTGTATAAGTACAATCAAGCAGACAATTAATTTTATTCGTAAATCATCAAAGAGAGCTCACGTTTTTAAAAGAAATATTGAAAGTTCTTTAGAGTCTGGTAGTAATCATCAGAAAGTAGCAAGATTATGTGACACGCGATGGGTAGAATGTCATAAAGTCACAATGAAATTTGTTGAATTATATCAGAAAATCAAAGTAACACTGAAAGAAATTAGTAATTGGAATGATGAAAATGCTCAGAACAGCTTTTTGTCGCTATTAATCAATCAAAATTTGTAATATCTTTGTATATATGTGCTCGTTTCAGTACGTTAATTTGACCTTATTTCAAAAGTTCTTCAGAATCCGCATATAGATATTCTTCAGTATATTGAACAAGTTTCTGACATGGCGCTAATTTTAAACAATTATCGACAAAATGACAATAATGACTTTCACAACATTTTTGTAAAAGCTGAAAATCTACTATTGTTGGAAATAATACCTGATCTGAAAAATTAACTTGTCTTATTTTCGAACGTTTGCTTGTTAAATTGTGTCTTATGATGCTACATAAGTATTTTATTTGCTGGAGAATGTCGACGGGCACAGGTAAAGGATACTACTGGAAGTGTCTAGCCACTATCCAGCAAGTAGGCGGTCTTGGTGTAATGGTCGCTCGTTACTAAGGGCTACAGTAGCGTTCGGTCCTGCCTTGGCGACAAAACAGCCTTATTTAGGGAGGCACTGCTTTCTCCAACTGGAGAAGGGACTGGGAAATGTGTCCTAAAAAAGCTAACAGGTTGGATGTTGCTAAACTGGAGGACAAGTCACCTCAGGAGTCTTTCAGCCGCGCATTATGCACCGAAATGATTGAGAATACTGATCTTGATTGGCCACATTTTCAAACGGTCATACAAAACGTTTCAAAAAATGTGCTCGGTCACTGCCGGGGTGGGCATAGGGACTGGTTTGATGAACGAGATATGGAAGGTCGTAGATTGCTGGATGTTGTGCACAAAACACATCTTGCTTGGATAAATGACAAAAGCAATGATGCAATGTAGGTAGCCTATTCAAATGCACAAAGTATCTTGCAGAAGGAGCTGCGCAGAATGAAGGAGTCTTGGTGGGCGGCGAGGGCTGACGAATTACAGGTAGCCGCTAACCGTGGTGATTCGAAGCTATTTTATAAAAGCCTTAAAATGGTATATGGGCCACGTGACTCGGGAAGTATACCAGTGCGTTCACGAAATGGTACGTCGTTGATTAAAGATGGCCCTGGCATCTTGGCCCGTTGGGCAGAGCATTTCTGCAGGGTGCTAAACCAAAAGACCTTCTTTGATGACTCGGTCCTGTCTGAGCTGCCGGATTGGGAGTCCAATTATGATCTTGAAGTTTCCCCTAGTTTGCAGGAAGTGGATAAAGCAATATCTCGGTTGTCATCTGGAAAGGCGCCAGGTTAACATGGGTTGCCTGCAGAGCTGTTCAAACACGGTAGTCCGCATCTCAGGAAGAGATTGGTAAAGCTTTTTGAACGCATGTGGGCAGAGCGGTCGGTTCCTCAGGAATTCAAAGATGCTCTGATCGTTCACATATTTAAAAGAAAAGGTGATCGATCAAGGTGAGTGATTGCTGAACGCCTGGCAATTTTGTTGATTGATTTTGTTATCTAGGCGAATATGTTTCCAACAGTGCAACTATCGATGATGATATTACAGCAAGGGTTGCAAAAGTAGGTGCTGCTTATGGTATGCTGACCGGACGTCTTTGGAAAGAACACGGAATTACTCTTGCTACCAAAATTACGGTATACAGAGCAGTCGTGGCCCTGTACGCAGATACAAAAACAGCCTTAAAGAAAACATGGAAAAATGTGGTCTAGACCCCAAGGTTCTTTGTGTTGATGCTTTGCGACGCTCGGAATGGAGAAGGTCTACCCAATCGGCGGTTTCCGCTTTTAAACTGGCAAGCACGTACAGCTGCCCTCGCTGTAAAAAGGACTCGACGAAAACAGACGGCCCGAAGCGGCGATAGTACAGGTGTATGGATTATGGATCTGTGGAACATGTGCACGAAAATGTTCGTCAAGGATAGGACTTTTGGCTCATTCTAGGACTCAACAATGACCAATGACCAATGCATTCAATATATATATATATATATATATTATATATATATATATATATATATATATTACCTATTGGTCGCGACACCTCAATTTGAGTTTCTTGGTTACAATAATTGAGTTGTGTTATCTTGAGCCTTAAGCCTTATTCGACAGGCTACTGACGAGTCTCGTGAGAGACGAAACGTACGTCTGGCCTATGGCGGGTAATGGTTTACCAATAATACCTCTTGCGACTGAATGGGTTCTTAAACCTTGTAACACGAGATGTTGTTCTTACCTATTGGTCGCGATACCTCAATTTGAGTTTCTTGGTTACAATAATTGAGTTGTGTTATCTTAAGCCTTATTCGACAGGCTACTGACGAGTCTCGTGAGAGACGAAACGTACGTCTGGCCTATGGCGGGAAATGATTTATCAATAATACCTCTTGTGACTTGAATGGGTTCTTAAACCTTGTAACAACGAGATGTTGTTCTTACCTATTGGTCGCGACACCTCAATTTGAGTTTCTTGGTTACAATAATTGAGTTGTGTTATCTTAAGCCTTATTCGACAGGCTACTGACGAGTCTCGTGAGAGACGAAACGTACGTCTGGCCTATGGCGGGTAATGGTTTACCAATAATATATATATATATATATATATATATATATATATATATATATATATATATATAAGAATGTATTTTTGGTTCAAGCTGTCATTTATACAGTTATTAGGAAATATCACCGCATTTTCCGCATTGTTTAGCTTGTAACTGAGTTTTTCAATTTTTCGAACAACTATTTTATCGACATTATTTCTAGTTATTTTAGACTGCATTTTTCCATTTTTCTTATATACATTTACCTAAAAGCTTTTTTTCCGTAACCTTTTCCATTATCAGTGTAATAAAGTTAGTGATATTGTTATATTAGTTTTTATTATTGCAGCTCTGACATACGCAAAACCACTTACAATGTTACAGATATATATCATCTATATATCTTTATTATGTTCTTCATATCTTCAACCAATGATATGAAGCAGCCATCTTTCGCCACAAAGGCTGTTTATCCTTTTCACACGACGTACACATGTATTTTATGTGCACGCGCAAGCACCGCATCATATACGCTGAGTATATGATAGCCATTGAGATGTTTGACTCAGCACGCATTTGAACCACTGAGCCATCTCGCCGGCCAATGTAGTTCATCTGGTATTTATAGTATTTTTTAACAAAGGAACTCTATGTTCTATTGTTTTTTTGTGTGAGTAATTTCTTTGTTGGCAGGTTCGTTACAGCCTGTTGTTGGATGTTTATTACAGGGTTTCTATTTTCTATTAATAAAGCCTCTGTCAAAAATAATGTCAATTTTTCAAACAATCTTTTTCTGTCACTTTCTACTATGCATTCTAAAAACTCCTCTCCTTGTGGCCAGTTGGGGATAAATATTGAAAATCTGTATGATTTGTAAGTTCGTTGAAACCAGAAACAATCCTAGCCGAATAAGAATAAGCACTTAGAGTAAGTTCTTTGCGTCGCCGTATGTGTGAATCATTAGATCACAAACCTTGTTTGCCAGTTTTTCATTTGATTTTGTAACAAATTTTCCTATGGCAAAATGTTTACGAATTTCACCTGGTGGCAATTTTGATAGTCGAAATGTTTTCACACAGATAGTGTGATACAGCTGCCTACAATGGCCTTCTACTACTTCAGTGCAATACCGAGTTATTTTAGAGGAAGAAAATCCAGTTATTGCTCCCTTTGACGTGCCATTGGAACTGACTTACATAACTGTCAATTTCTACTTTGTCAAGTTCATTGACTGCAGCGTACTTAATTTATTGTCATCCGATTTAACGTCTGCAAGTACACCGGGTGCGGCTGGTGATGAGCCCATCACATACTGTTCAACGTCTTCAGCAGAATCATGTTAAGAGGCAGTGGCTGAGGAATCACACATAAATAAAGATGAGGCTATCGAAGATGATACGGGTGTCACAATTTCAACTTTTTCAGGTTTACTGAACGTACTTGTAAGCCACTGCTGCATCATTGATACTGTGCGACTTCCACCCAAAAAATTCCGTTCACGTGGAAAAGGTTGACTAGAAACTCCGCTCTTTTTCATCATTATCTATAACGTACACAGAATAATGTACTGTAGTAGAATAAATATTGAAAACTGAACGCAGAAATTAAATTTTAAAACGATATGAATTACTAATTACTAACTACTGAATTGAACAACTTGAGCTAAATGCAACGGCCAATATCAATGAATAAATGCCAATTAAGTACTAAAACTAAAGTACGAAAAAAGGAACATACGAATTTAGATACAAACTCTATGAAGAACTTACGAAGTAAAACAGTACGATTGAACGTTAATAATAGTTAATACAATGATTGATTGATTTAATACAGTATAGGTACGTCAAACGTCTTAATTACGTTATTGAAATATAAGTAATAAATATGTAAATAAATTGAGTTTTGTGCAATAGCCATAGCGCAACGAGACAACATCTGTTTACCAGCCTATAAGTAGGCGTGGTCAAATTTCTGATAGCAAAACCTCGCAATTACATGTTATAAAACATAATCGATTAAGACGATAACGTTGTAATTTAGTTAAGAAATATTTTAATATTTTTAATCAGCGATTAAAAAAATTAACGTATTTTTGGGGACGCGAAAATTATTTATGTTGCACGACGCCTATGTTTTTGGGCAGTGGGAAAAAACCTTAGAATAAGCACTGATCTGCTGTTACTCAAAAAAACTTGTTATAAATGAAGAAAAGTGGCCTTTTAACCCAATTTTAAAAAGTTCTGTTAAGTACCACATCTTCATGTTTTTTTTTTCATGTGTCTTTTTCATGTGTCTTTTCGCTAAAACCTGGTCAACCCAGGGTACGAAGGTTTCAAATAAAATGAGGTCATCTAGAGTGTTTCGACTTTGACTTAAAATTCTATTAATTTAAAAATAATGTGAAAGCCTATTATGAACAATTTTAACAAATATTTTACATAATGTGTTTGTTAATCCTATTAGCCGATATAAATAAAATCAAACGATTGAATAATTTTTGTTTGATAAAATTATTTTAAATAAAACGCAATTCATAAAAATTTACTCACAAGATGTAAAAATGTTTTAAAATGAATAATTGCTTTCTATTGACGTTATTTTCAAACAGAAAAGTTTCCCAAAAGTTATGAGCAACGACGTAAAAGATCTTGTGAACAGAGTTTTAGTAATTGACGTATCAAAAAGACTGGGATGCATGAAAAATGGCGCAATCGATGTTAAAAAACATAAATGGTTTTCAAATATGAATTGGTATGGCCTATATCATAAAAAGGTTATATTTGATTGACGTGCAGGAAAAAAGATTTGGGCGAATAGAAATATTGCATTGTTAATTTTAACTGAACAAGTTCAATGTACGTTTGAATTCATTAGGTTAAATCGGAACAAGCTAATGTAAAACTTTATCTTAATAAGCTTTTTTTTACAATTTTTTTTTATTTTCTATTATTATTCACTAAAAATTAGCACCTATTTTTCTTTATAATATATTTATAATATCCAGGATAAGCTAACAATCATAATAATTAACTAATCATTTGCACGACAGTCAGTGGCGGATGCAGAGAGGGAGAGTGCGGAAATCTCTTTTAGGTTAAGTCATAAAAGAAAAAATCTCTGTAAAACACTTTTTCGTCATAGTATAATAATTTTCAAATAAAATAGTGACGAATTTAGTGAGAGATAACGGGGATTCATTCCTACACTCAAATCAACAAAAAACATTTTTTGCAACCTTCAGTATCATGAGGTATTTTATAAACTTAAAAATATTTCCGACTTTTAATTATATCACATTTTGGCAAGAAATATTTACGACGTAATCATCGGAGAGTCCCCCTGATGTGTAAAAAATCCGATTCGTTCGTCTATGCAATTGCGGATCTAGGGGGGGGGGCGATAGGGCAGATCCTAGTTGTGAGCAGTTTTTTAATTAAATTCAGAAAAAGGACTGTCTTTTGTGTAAAAATCAACCAAAAAATGCACGTGATGAACAAAAAAAGGTCGTCAGCCACACTATCACAAATCTTGGCCCCCCGTAAAAATTTTGAAATTTTGGCCCCTAATGAAAATTTAAACATTTTCATATTTTTGGCCTTCTGTCAAAGTTGTCTAGATCCGCCACTGCATCCATGTAAAGTAGTTTTCTCAATTTACCATTTCAACGTTTATTCAGTACGAAAAAACCATTGAAACTACGAAACTATGATTACGAGCAAGTATGGTAAATAATTTGGCACTGATGTACATTCACAAAAACATAAACCTGGTTTCAGATAATTTTTAAAAATATTTCTTTATGCAAAACCCGCAAGATTAATCTTAATTTGATTGTGCTGGTTCTATATCTTTTTTATACAAACCTTATTAATAACATTTAAACAAGTACTCTTGTTATTTTGAAAATAGTTTAAGCAGCATGAAAATATTTTCTTTTAGCAAGCTTATTAATAAATTTTTGCGGCCCACAATAACATCTGATAATACAGTATAAAAAATTATGCTGTTTGTAATAATTTAAAAATGTGTTATAAAAAAAAAGTTGTTTTCAAGAGAACCACTACGCCACTGTCATCTCTCACAGTAAAATTTTGGATCAGTCACTGTCGTTGACAGTATATTTTTAGTTTTTAAAATAACTTTTTGTTTTCCTACATTTTTAAAGTTTAATACATTAAATGTTTTGAAAAGATTTTTATGAAGTTAAAAATTAAATTGAAGTAATTATTATTAATTGATTAATTAATTAATTATTATTAGTAATAATTAATTATTTTAAAGTATTGAATTATTTCCACCCAGATAGAGGCACCTTACAAACCGTCACATGTTAATCACGTCAGCTCTTTAACAAAATCAGAAAGACACAAAATTGTGCATATGAAATTTTAAAATGATTTATAACTAATTTTAACGTTAAATTTTAATTTTTTTTTGTTTATTGAAATGATGAGAACTGCTTGTCGTTAAAACTAAAACCAGAAAATCACACAGCCGAAAAAAAACATTGAAAAACAATGAAACTCTTTTTATCTGTCAGACAACAACTGTCTCTTAATCTGTTCAAAAAATATTTAAAGCTGCATTCGTTTTAACAAGCATTTGAGTGCTCCAGACGCTATACGTAGGGCACTGTATTAAATGACACATTTTTTTTATTATTATAACATAAACGTGATTTTAATTGAATAGTTTGGGTATAGTTTGCAGTTTAGACAATGCCGACCGTTGATGTAGTTTTAACCAAAGCGGAAATTTCAAGTTAAATGCTGATGAAATGGCAACCAATATATGCCCATTCGTCACATGTTTGCTTAGACCCGGAACCACATGAATATTTGTGATCTGTAGCCGCATCACATCTAATCTAGAGAGCTTGAACGATACCATCAGAGAACAAAACATCTCAAGCTGTAGAAATTTTTTAACCAAGCCTAATCTTTTGAGTTGCATGAAATAAGCAGTACATGTTGTTTTCATGTGAGGTTGTTTTCAAACAAAAAAAAAATAATTTTTTTAGTTTCCGGTATCAGCATGTCACCAAGAACCACCAGAGGCAAACTCTTCAAAATATCCAGCGATTACATAAAATCAAAGCAAATTAATTTTGTCTTAAATAGTAAATATTTCTACATATGACCTCTTTCACAAACTTTACTCTTCTTCAATTCACCTACAGACCTGGTTTTTCCACTGAATCAGCTCTTCTCCATTTATACAATTTTCTGGTCAATACCTGTGCACATAGTGTGGTTTTAGATGAAATACAACCACAAAAGTGATTTGGACTAAACATTCTTGTTGTTGGACCCTGAACATAAAAATTTAGTACCGATATAACAGTTTCGGAAAAGATGAAAATTGTATTTGCATTTAAATACTTTTTGTTTTCCATACATGTTTTTGAGTTACCGATGCATCGGCTACCAAAACATACACATAAAATGCGTACAAACATTCCAACATACTTTTGAGACTGTATTTAATGAGTGCTTAATAAATGATCTGTAATAACAGCTTAATAACAGCTTTGAATAATACATATATGATATATGTATACGTGCATGCACGGTTATTATTAAAAAAATGTCAAATAAATAAATAATCGTACATCGGGAAATTGACGAAACATTATCCAGACATTGAAAAACTATTGCAAATTATTAATTAATCGAAAAACTATTGGAGCATTGAAAAACTATCGTGAAATAATTGAGTACCGATGATCGGGATAAGTACTATAAATTTAATTCTCGATCTTGATATTTGTAAAATTGACGATGTCCATTTGTTCGAAATTTTTTCGTTCATCTATTCGGAAAAGCCCATTTCTAACATGCACATTGGGGTAGCTAAATATTTATGTTTAGATAACGATTGGTAGTTTTGCTGTACTTTGCTCTGTAAATAAAATATTATTTTAAAAGGTTAAAAAAGGGCTAAAGGTCTGCAACACACTAGTTTCAGAAAAATCAACAACACGCAACAAACATCGTACACGAATACATACTAAACGCCGCATCACACGAAGTATGTGATAGACGGGGATCTTTTTGTCATACAATCGAATCGAACACTGCACGCACTTGAAAAAAGCACAAGGCCACCTTAACCACTACGCCATCGAGCCGCAAAAATTACTTCATTTTAGTTTTTTTTAATTTAAGTTAATGAGACTGCTATTAACACGACATTCATTTTTAATAAGACGTTACAGCTAGTTTTCTAATAATCAGAAATATTGAAATCGCAACATTTACATTGATGACGTGTTAAATCGTCTTTGTTTGACCAAAAAAGATAATTTTAAATTGTTATTGGCACCATTCCATAATAAGGTAAGTTAAAAACATGTTGCTCAAATGAAGAAATTAATGTATAATATAAATGTTTGATATATTGCAATAAAGTTCAGAACAATGAATTGTTATTTTTGAATTTAATTATAAACAATTTTGTTGCAAGTAAATAATATTTTGGCATCAGAAATAAATAGGATTTATTGATTATTTGTGTATTTGTTTCAAACACACACAAAAACACCGCACACACACACAGATACACACACACACACACACACACACATATATATATATATATATATATATGTGTGTGTGTGTATATTTTATTTTTATTTATATATATATATTAATGAAAATCACAGCATGTTCGGCGTTAGTTAACTTCCAATTGAACTTTTCGATTTTTTTAATGGTTGATCGTAAATCTATTTCAAGTTTCTTTAGTTCAAAACCAGAATCTTTGTTTGTTTTATGCATGATAGAACAGAAAAGCTTTTTTCGGTATTCCTATACCATCTTTGGTGTTCAAATTGATATGTAATGGTTGTGCCCAGATGATCAAATATTTTTATACTGTGTTTATTTATTGGTTTCTTGTTTATCCAAAGTGAGTATTTAGTTTTACCATCTTTCGACATCGTAAAATATAACACTTTTATGTGTTTACATTATCGATAAATATAACACTTTACGTGTTTTCGTTATCGATGATTCCTCTGTTTCTAAATTTATTGGTGGGAAGAATTCCAATTGTCCGTTGTTGAATATTTATTATCGGATGTCTTTGTTCTATGAGTATTGATTCGGCTAGTGGTAAATTATAATGGTTGTTATTGTAATGTAAGATTTCAACATTGTGGTCCAGGATTTGTCTAGTAATTTTAGTTTTGTGTCTCTATTTTATGTTATTCTTTATAGCGCCAGTTTGTATGTGCACCGTGAGTCTTCTCGATAACTTAGTCGACTTAGAACCAAAGAACGTCATTTTTTGTGATGAAAAACAACTGCACTAGTAAACCAGAATCGATAATCGATCAAAGCCATCTAATATATTTGTACAAATGTAATAGCAGTGAGTGTGGGCACCATAATTCTGAATATATTGGTATGACGAACCTCTGCTCCAACTTCTTAGTCCTTCTACACATGTTCTGCATACAACGTGAGGTGCCCATGGTTTATCTTGATCACTGAATTTTATTTTAAAATATGCATGATAAATTTTTTTCAAAAATCCATTGATGGACTGTCTTTGCTTTGCTTTTATCTTTCACAAATATAACAAAATGAATTTGGAGAACTAAAACGACATCATCTGGAACTCGACCTAGTAGCCATGTTAAATCAAATAAATTAAAATGAATAGAAATTTTAATACTAAATAATGAATTTAGTTTAATTAAATGGACAGGCCTAGATTTTGATGATATAAGTACTTTCATATACATATGTGTATCCCTGTGTAATACAACAT